AAGCCTGTCCTTTTATGATATCCTCCAGAGTAATGAGGTAACAGAAAATTAAGGAGTACACCTCTAACTTAGGGCAAGGAGGCAGTAGTCCAGATATCAGAGAACAGGATGAGTTAAAGGAAAGGCTTTAATGAATATCCAAGGCTGGTGAAAACAGAACTTTTTAAGAATACTTAATTTGTAGTAGCTAAAACAGGAACCCCCAATTTCAACTATTAAACTTTACAAATAAAGGCAGCTTCTGCCTTAGGTAAAGAGAATGATGTAAACACCTATTGTGATCCAGGCAAGAGCCCTCCCAGTCAACAAGAAATGGGAAGTCATTAATAATTCACTGAGAACATCCCCCCCCTTCATTTGCAAGGAGCAATGATGCTTGGCTTTCCATCTTCACTATGTGAAGAGCAGTTGCTTCAACCAGCCATTAAATACATGTACTTGGTTATGGCTTTCTCCTCCTTTACGTTAAACTATCCAAAATCCAGCTAAAAATAAGGTTAACAGTCCTTGGTGTTGAAATCTTTGAAAAGTACTATGTGAAGTCCCTGGGTACGGAGACCTCAGTCTCTATCTGCAATTCTAAAGTATGTCATAATTTTCCTTTACATCACAAATTCATGTCAGACTTTCTGTTTCCATTTTATTTAAGTACCATTCCAAAAGAAGAGAGTAGGATTAACAAGACTGAGGTTTAGTAACAGATTGCTGAAAGCCACCTCAGTTGATAAAATAATAAGTGTAGTAGCTTTGAGCTTTTGGAAGTACCCAGCTGCAAACACAAAAATACATAAAGTACCGCTCAGCAGTAGAAAAAATGCAGAAGAAAAGTACGTCCAGTCAATCAAAGCATTTTCATTTACAACCAGGTCACATAAAACCAGATAAAAGCAAATAATTTTTCTTACAATAACTAAGCTGCAGGCACCTTTCACTGTTTTACTTGGCTGCTTTTGATCTGTTTCAGAACCAGCTGTCTGGAAATCTGCTAAGAAAATTCAAAAACAGCAACGGGTGGCAGAAGCTTTGGGTGGTGTTCACCAACTTCTGCATGTTCTTCTATAAATCGCACCAGGTAACCGAGTGGGCAAGTGTGAGTGGCTGGAGAAGACAGTGGGGGGTTCTTTTCCAAAGAGGCAGCTGAGAGAAAAGTGGATCTCAGTCACAGATGGTGTAGGCTGGAGCAGCAGGTGCACTGCACACACAGCCTTCACTGCCACTGGCACACAGAGCAGGCCTTGTTCTCACTGCTCCTGGGGCAGTTCTTTCCTGAAGCTTTCAGCAGTCACAGTACAGATCATGCTTGGAAGCACTGCAGAGCTCACCACTGCTCAGAAGCTGTGGTGCAAGTTCAAACCAGGCTTTTATCACTGCAGTTAAAAACTTAACAGTGACTTACAAATTCTGTTTATCATTACTGACATTTAAGCCAAACAAGAACAGCGATCAATGATTTAATCCACCTGAGCAAACATCCTACTGCAAAAGTAGGGGATTTCTGTTTAGAATCTGTTGGATTTCTGAATCTGTTTGAGCAGAGCATAAGCACAAAGTAACTCAAGTTGCTACATTATGCTTTGTTATAGAAATCCTTAATGATTAAAGAAGGAACTGGAGGATATTCCACACATAAGAGGGATAAAGAAATCATTTGCCATGCAGTAACTGGACTTCAGCAGTAACCTGCTGGGTGGCCAGCACAGCTCTAAAGGATTAGGAGTTTGCAAGCTGAGGATGAACCTGGGTGGTGCCCTGCCAAGGGCAAATGATGGAGCATTATGTTCATCAGTTTGAAAGTAGTCAAACTCCAAGATATTAGCCAGCTTTCCTTCAAGGAAATACTGACAGGATCAGCCTGCAAAGGGTCCTTGTGCAAAGGGTCTGTAATGATGACCAACTGAAACTACCAGACAGTTAATCTTACTGCAGTTGTATAAATCTGACATTTTTCTGCACATGTGTGGAAACACGATAATCTTCAAATGAGGGGGTATCTACTTTCCATTAACTTAGGGGTTCTCTTTATTTAAGGACATTTGATCTCACAGCACTTTCCATCATATCGTTTCAGGACAATCATCCTTTAGCCAGCCTTCCTTTATTGGGATATTCACTTACCCTTCCTTCTGAATCTGAAAACATTCACAAAGATTATGTGTTCAAACTACATTTCAAATCCCATGTGTACTACTTCAGGGCTGAAAGTGAATACACCTTTGAAAGGTAAGTTTGTTTTTCAGAGAAACCAGAAGCATTCTTCCAAAGGTTAGTAGCTACAAAGTTTATTAAATAAGTTGGTTCAGTAATACAGGCAAGTGGTTCAGCACAACTGGAGAAAGGACCTTTTAAAATTATAAAAGAAATTTTAAACCTGATATTGCTAAAATCAGGTGATTGGTTGTGATGATATGGAAGCAGTAATAGTAATTACTGCAAAACTTGGAATTATCCAGTCAAAATTGATCAGGCTGGCTGTATGGGGAGATCCATGCCTCAGACTTCAGGAAGCATGTGAACAGATCACGGGATACCTCAATAGCTCTTCAGGATAGCTTTGCTTCCTTTAGTACAACTGCATGGAAAATCCACACCTGAAATAAAATTCCAATTTTCATAGAAGCAGCTGTTCCTACTACATATTTATGCCACTTCACCATGTAATTTTTACACCTCCCACTAAACTTCAGATACGTGGAGAGTCAGGGAAAAGGCACTACTCCTCCTAAATTGTGGTTTGTGATTGTTCATACAGGGAGCTAATTTATTTAGCTGCTTTATATAAAGCATGAACATGTCAAAAATCATGATGTCTTCATCAAAGAAAGCTGCTCCTAACGTTTAGCCATGCCAGTCCAAAATTATAAACAAGGCAAATTATGGGAAGGTGGTGATAAAATGAAAACACAAAATGCCTTTATCAGTAATAGGAAAAAGAAGCAGAAATTGCAGCTAAAGTACATTTTTTTGCTCTCAGATTAAGAACGGTTGGTCTCAATTGCTCATTGCTTGGACCACTCAGAAAAAAGATATTTGGTGTCTGCAGAGCAAGTAAAACCACTATTAACTTCACGAGTTTTGGGACCCATACCTGCTATTTGGGACCTCCTGTCTGTTCTCTTCAAACCTCCTTACAGTTTTGGCAGTGGATCCTCTTGCCTTGAGACAGATTTAGGGGTGAAGTAGGAAGATGCTCCCGCAGGCACTAAAAATCAAACTGTACAACTAATAACACAGACTATACCTGTCAAAAAATCCTCCCAGGGAACTGACCTTCCTTTTGTTCATGTGTCTCCTCGTGCCTCCTCACAGATGGATGGAAGTGATCCGAAGTGCCACCAGCTCTGCCTCCCGCACTCGAGCTCTGAGTCACAAAGAGCCTCACGCCTATTGACGGCTCAACAAGCCGCTGTCTCGATTGTCCAGCAGCTGCTGATTTTCTAGAGGACATTTGAAACTCCTTTTCTCCCTCCAAGTTTAGGAAAACTTACACTTTGGTAAAAGAAGAGAATAAGTATGGTTTTGCAGAAACTTTCACAATTCCTCAGCAAAACTGTTTAAGTTCTCTGAATATACAAACTAGCTTACCATCATCCCAGTGGCTGCGGTTCATTTCATGTCTTGTATTTTGTCATTCTGTGCTGTTTTTAGCTTGTGCCAGTATTAAAATATTGTCCTTATTAGAGTGCCAAATGCCAAAAGACGTTTTGTTGCCTCAAAGATTGCACCTAAAAGAACTCCCAGATGACTGAAATCTGAAAACTTTCTCCTCTGAGGCAAACACTATTTTCTTCTCTTTTCATAAAAATATATTATTTTTTTTTACCATGTTAATCTGTAGACTGCTGGGCTTTTAAATGTAGATGGATTTTCACAGTATAGAATATAATTATATATACAGAAAGCAGTCTAACAGGAATGAGATAACTTACAGATTTCATGCTTTTTTCCCCAGTCTTTATACATTTAATCAGCAATGATTTACTAATTTTCTATGTTTAACGAGGAAACAGTTGACAGCTCATTCTCATTTCCCCTTGGGGTCACAAATCCATGTGGTATAAATAAAGTATAGGGTTCTTATCTAACCATTTTTTTGGTGCAAGTTGACCAAATTGTTCATCTGTTGGCTTTGAAAAGTGAGTACTACTTGCAAGACGAAAAATTTTTTAAATAATCCAGTGCAATATTATTTGGGCTGTTAATGTACTGTGAATGGTTATGTACAAGAAGAAATTAAAGGCTGTGGTGACATTCTGCTGTTTGTTTTACGAACTTGAAAGAAAACCTGTATGCTACAAGAACCGCAGCTATTTGTGATTCATTTGTAGTGTTTTGGTAACTAAATTGCTCTAAGCTGGGGGGTACTGCTGAAGCCCCAAGTTTTCATCCTGCTTGCTACACATCCCAAATTGACTTCCAGTTTATTGTTGGAATTTCAGTCTCTCCCTCTCTTCCCTGGGGCTCAGGCAGACAGAGAGTGACTTACACTACCTGCAGCAGAATTACCCATTTCGTATGCCTAGCTTCAACATCAGCTGGCACAGCATTTTGGATAAGCTGGTTGGCAGCACTGTATCTGCAAGGCTTAGATGCTCTCCCTCATGTTTTAAGAAACTTTGTCCCTAGGGTGATGTAAAGGTTCCATTGGCAGAAGTTTGCTGTGCTGGTAACACCCGTCACCATTACAGACCTTGGAGGAAGCACGGTGCTAAGCAGAGGGGCCTGAAAGTCAAGGGAAACGAAGCTGGGGAAGTTCTATCCCTGCTTTTTCTTCATCCAGCTACTCGCTTTGTTAATGGCTTGTCTGTGTGCGATGTGTAAAATGGCTTCTTACAGCTTTGCTCACAACAAAAGGGAATAAAATACCTCACAACACCATTGTACATATGCCTGTTTCGAAACAGTAAAGCGTTCTTTCTGTTACCCCCAACCCCAGACACCTCTGTCCAAGATGAGGATGGGCTCCAAACCCTTTAGGACAAACAGCAGTCCCCATGGCCAAATCCAAGCACACCCTGACAAAGGGAAACTCTTTTCTGAGCATTTCCTTCAGCTGCAGGGAGACCTTCACCCCCCTGGGCAGGTAGAGTGCTGCACTTGCTCTTTTCCTCAGCTGATGCCCCTGGCTCTCTGTACCTGTGCAATAACCACACCTACCCTGGAGCACTGCCTCTGGCTAAGACATGCTAAAGGACAAACTTGGAAAGTAGGTAGGAAAATCTGAAGCCCATTTTCTCAGCTGCAGGTCCCACTGCCTTGTCCATTCCGAGCCTGTGACCCTGCCCTGTAGTAACATACAGGAATTCCAGTGCTTCAGGACTGACCAGGAATACGAGCAATGATCTCTGTAGTGAGGAGAAGAGGAAATAACACAGCACAGGTGAACAACAACTCAGCTGCAGCCATACTGGTCTGGAGAAACAATGCTGAAAAAGCAACAGCACTTGATGTTGCTATGAAGTAAAATGCTGCAGACTTGGTCCTGCCAAAAATGATGATTATTATTGAGTGGTAAAATAGTACCTTACAAGACAGGGCCCTGCCTCTTCCCTTTAGAATTGTTATCTATAACAGTGAAGGGCTTTTTTAAAATGGAAATTAGATTGAGGGCCATACCCTCAATTCAGCCAAAACTGAATTTTAATTTAGAAGCCTGGGGCTTGTTGGATAGAATGTTCATTAACTGCTATCTGCTGCAGTAGTTTATTCTGAGCTCTCCAAAGAAATCAAGCAACACCTTTTCTCATTAAGTTTCATTTTTACACAAGGTGAATTTAGAAAATAAGGCAAAGACCAAAATACAGTGATATTGTTAATGGCAGAGACCAAGTTAGGCTGTGGGTGCAGCTTTCAGACTACCCCCCGATCACCATTTTCACCTTTTTGTATTATTTTTCCTATTAAAATTTAACACAAGATTTTTTTTCTTTTCTACTAGTGTGATTTTTAATTTCTTTTTAAAATAGAACCATTTGAACTGCTGCCACCTGTCAGCATTTTTCTAGGTGTCTATTCCCAGAGTTAACCCAAAACTGAAATGATAGCAACAGAGTAAAATCAATTGTCTTGATGCTCCTATCTTGGAAACAGGCAGAGCCTATGTGTGTGAATAAAACTCAAATGTACTATAAAGCTGTAATGTACAACCACTTATTTTTAATCCTGATTCACATCACAGCAGTGCCTGTTCAGCCAGGCAGGGCCTGCAGAGAGGGAGGGTCACTGTGTGCCAGGTCAGGAGCTATCACTACACACATCTCTCTCAGCTGCAGGAAAGCCTCAGATGAGGCACTCCAGGAGATTTGCTGCTGGTGTTGTTATTACTCACCATGAAATAGTTGCCAGTTTCCAATAATGGACAAATAAAAACAAAACAGGGACTTCGTTGCCTCAGGAGGTAGCACCACAGGCAAAGGGATCAAAAAAGCCTGGACTCCTGTGGTTTTTTCAACAAGATTAAGCATCTCTACCATTTATCTGCTGTCTAATTTAACCTCTGCTAAGATGTGTTTGATAATATACCTCAAACCTACATCTTTTCGAGCATTTTATTTGAACAACACTGACACCTTAATGCCTTTGTAAATTCAGCTGAAACAAGACAAAAATGACAGACTGAAAGACAAGTCAGCAGGTAGGGGAAAACATGCTGTGATTGCAGAAATCTTGATAAAAGTCTCTGACTAAAGAGGAAGAAAAATTTGTTTTAGAGACAAAATCAGGTGTAATAGCCTGCCATTCCATCAGCCAAGAACAAGAAAGAGGATCAAGAAAGACCTGAAAAGCCAAATTTTGCCCATTCTTTCTTTTTATATACAACCAATTACATGGTCTTAGCCCTCAAAAGCACAATTACCTACATGCAGGCAGATGCACAACTCCAGTTGCACATGGATTCTGCCTCTGCCCTGGGGCATAGGAAAGCTGGTAGGGAACAAAATAATGGGCAATGTGCCACACATACAGTTTTTAGCAGCAGAAAATAGTAATGAAGTACACCTACAGGAGTGCAGCTGTCACACAGTTTGTCACCAGGTAAAGGTGCAATCCATACAGTTTGTTGTGAGCACTTAATCAGTTTCACGGGGCTGGCAGGATGGGTTTTAAATCACTGCCATCTCCAAGTGCTACAAATTCTGAGCTGATTGCCATTAAAAACCCACCACTGTTTAACAACCTTTCTGCATATCATTACTGACACGTGGGTAATAACTCCCACAGAGCATCCCCTCCAGGGAAGGGGCCCTGAATCCCATCTCACTGACCACTCAGGTGGCAACATTTCATGAAACTTTTCCTTCTTTATTTCCAGGTCATGTATTTTACAAGGAGATTTACTGTGTTGGTGTAGAGTAACCAAAGTAAAATTTAAATACACGGCTGTAAACAGGCAGCAACATTACAGAAAATAAGACACACACTTTCATGGTCCTCTGTACTCATGCCTTACAGGTGGCAGGAAACCCTTGCATACGATTTGTCCATGGCATGTGCTCAGTGCAGTTGCCAGCACATCTGCAAACACAGTTAAAAACAGGAAGCACATTTGGGCTATACCTTCAGCTCCTCCTCAGCAGCCTACAAAACCCATTTGGAATTGTCCTGATCCTTGCATGATACCTGTGCTTATGCACACTCTGGATAATCTTCCACTGGTGACATTTTTGAAGGCAAAACACATTTCCTTCAAAGTCAGGTTACTGTAAAACTACTACTGGTACCACGCAGTTTAAAAAGTAATACAGAACATCACATGAAGTAGTCAGAGCTAAAGAACACATTGCCCAGCTACATTAAAAGCACATGAAGAGGCAGATGATGGGGAACCAGGGTACAGAGGATGGGAACTCACACTGAGCCAGCTGCTTCGCAGTGAGGTGCCAACACAGCCAGCCTCAGCTTCCCCCTCCACCTGCCCCTCTTGCACAGCGGGGGCACAGCACCCCAGTTAGGGCATTCCACAAAGACCAGTTTCTCTTCTGTTCCCACATGCTCACACACAGTGATGGAGCTGCAAAGGAACCATGGCACTGCAGAGTGAAATCACTGCTTTGTCACTACACCAAAAGTGTTCTGTGCCCTGGCACATCATCCTTCAGTAAACTGGTCAGCAACTACAAAGTGCAACTGCAGGGAAAGGTAAGGTAAAAAAATATATCTGAGAGTTACAAAAAAGCAAGCCTTCAGTTCAAATAACTGATTTTATTGTTTTTAAACAGTGAGTTTATTTACTGCCTAATCATGAAATCCCTGACAAATAAGCAGTTCTACTAATTTAAAGGTTTGCATAAATAGGGATAGCTTATCATTTAGTATAGTCAAGACTGAGTGAAGTACTACCTGCACAGAAAAATCATCAGTGCAACATTGTAACACAGACATGTTTTAAGCATGAAAAAAACCTCTCCAAAAATATCAATACACTTCTTTTCCTCTGAGAAACTGAGGTGGTGCTTCTTTCAAATGAAGCTCCTCTTCTATAACTGATACAGACCTGATTTTTAAAGCATCAATACTTTTTAATAGCAAATGATTGTACTTCTACATTCAAGATACAGCACGCTTCTTTTTTCAGTGAATCTCAGTTTAAGATAGTCTATATTTAAATAATCTGTATATTACATATAAAAATACACATCTCTACCATAAATGAGGTCTTGTCTTCTTCTAAATGCCCAAGCCTTTTGGCCACCTGCCCTCAACACAAGTCTCATTCATCTTAAGCTCTGACACATTCATCAAGCAAATTCTGCCACTATCTACTCAGACAAGTACTTCCTCAACATACAGTCCTGGAACACAACTAAAATGCAACTCAAAACACATATATATAACTTTTCAAACGAGTGTTCAAAGAGTGTAGCTTAGAACTTAATTCAACTTTCTGATTGATAAATTCTTGACATTCAAGCCAGCAGCTTAAGTTTAACTTCCCCACTAAGTCTCAGAAGTTCTGTGCATCGTCAAGTAAGCTCACTTTAATTTCCAGTCCTTACATTAATAGATGACAAGGGAACAGCTTACACTGATCAATTTATATTTCCAGTGCAAACACACCTGTTGATTTCCTTATGCAGTCAAAGCACAGGGATCTGTTCAAGGCTAAATGTTCTCCTATTGAGACATCAACAGGTAAATTTCCATTGCACTGCATTATGATGCCCATTTCACAAAAGCAGTACTAAATTTATTTCCTCAAAAGTGAGCCTATCCATAACACTTAAGAGCACACTAAACAACATAATTAAAAATAATAATCAAACTGGAGTTGTGAAACATTGCTCAAACTTTTAGAATTGTTCAATTTATTTTAAATTCCCTTAGCCATAAAGGTAACACATCACCTAATTAGGCTGGCAAATGAGTAATGCCTGAAAGCATGGCCACAAGATGAACACACACCCACATTTCTTCCAACTGTTGTTTCAACCTGGGCAGAAGTTTATTAGCTCTGTTAGCAAGACAGTGTCCTCTTACTGTTAAATTCTTAAATTAATAAATTAAGGCTAGTAATATGCATAGACTAAGGGCTACCATGGTGATAGAAGTCCTGGAAGGAGACCTCACCAGCTTCCACAATGGTTAGAGTACCTGGGTTTCTTGTACCAAGGCAGGCAGATATGCCTGTGTTTTAAATGTTAATCCTTTCTGTTCCAAAGCTCCCATCTATATTTTTTTTAAAGTTAATATATAAGTTACCTCACAGTCATGCAAAGCATAAAGTCATCAATTGCTTCATTAAAAGAAGGCAAAAATGCTCTCTTAGCTACTGGAATAAGAAGAACCTGAATATAGTCTTGGTGAAACCAACCAAGGTAAACCTCAGAGTAATACAGGGGCGGGGGGGGAATAGCAGCTACCTGATCAACTGTGCATCCAACTAATGAACTAGTATTACTGTTTCCAAGATCTGTGACACCTGAAGTCAGCTGTCTAGAAGCCCTCACAGGAATAGTGGAAATTTTAAAATTCAGAATTTCAAGAAGTAACTTTTCTCTGGAGAGGCAAGCAGCAGGACCCAGCAGCCGGGCTGTTTTGCAGTCTCTCTGCCCTACATCTATCCATTTTGCTAAAGAGATGCACAGATCTAGGCAGCAAAACCAAATACTAAACCTATGGATAACTTTTCTTGTATGCTGAAAGACATTTCTTTTAATGATAAAAATAGGCATGATAAAGAAATACTTGGAACTGTCTCAGAATCTACACCTTAAGGAGATATTTCAGAATAAATGAAGGGAATAAAGATTTCTGTGAGCATTTAAACATGTTCAGGTGAAAAAAGACTGTGTCTGAATTTCATGAACTTCACAAATATCTGTTACTAAAACTGAACTATTTCAGAATTTGCATTGGCACAGTTTGAAACTGAAGATATGAAAGAACTCTAGGAAAGACAATAATTTAAATTTAAAGCTTTGAGAGACCAGGTGTATGAAATTTAAAACAAATAGAAGTAGTACCATAAATAGAAAGTGAGGCTCAGAATATAAGTAAAAAGAAAGAAATGCTAAAGAAACAGAATAAAATTGTGTCTGTGCTGAGGTACAAATAGAAGGTTCTATAATACAGGATTAACTCTTTCAATGGCAAATACTTCACATACAAAAATCTAATCGAGATTCACTTATCACATATTTCAAACTTTACATGTAATAAAGGCAAGGCAATACTCAGTTATGGCCTGTCAAATGTTTACCCCACTAACATTATCTACAAAAGCACTTTACCATTTTGTACACAGTGATTCCTTATGCACATTGAAAGGCTTTCTTTTAAAAAAGACATTATATACATATCTGTACACAATACCAACAACCATGCTCCATCTCTCAGTGGAATTCTTAAAGCAAGATACCTGAGGTTTCTCAATATCTTCAATTTCTCTATCACAAACCTAAATATACATTTCAGATTTTACAAAAGGACACCTCCCTGGAATATGTGAATTATCATCTTAAAAAATTATAGCTTTAAGGAGCTGAAAAAGATTGCCTCCATCCAAGAGACTTCATTTTCACTCTTAGAATGTCCTTCCTCCCAAGGACTTTCCAGAGACTGAGAGGCAGAACAGCATTAGGGTGCACGCCTTCAATGCAGACACCATGGGATCTCTGCTGTCTTGGGAAAGCCAGGAAGGAAGAGTATGTCAGTAGGATGAAGAACTTCCTCCAGCTAGGGAATATCTGAAGAGGAAATGAAATAGTTACTGTTACAACTTTTAGAAAGGCATTCTACAAGAAGCAGCAATGAAGTGATTCCATTTTATGCTGTTGAAGTTCTGGCCTTTTTCCTTGCACTATGGCACTCACCACTGCCACCACACCTTAAAGGAGGAGCCGTGGAACTGAACAAGCCTGTTAGAGTATCACTGCTTTCCCAACAAACAGCAACAACCTGTGCTCAAATGTGTTACTGAGCAGCATTTAATGATGGAAGAACATTTAGCGACTCCACCTTTCCTACTCTGCAAGCTTACATCAAATCTTTTCAAAACATTACTGGGATAGGACAACTCTATCTCTTGATCTAAGGAGATTCTTAAATCATCCAAAGAAATAAGCACACTTTTTAATCACATTAAGTTTCCAGTAAACTTCACCAAACATCCAAAATCAAAACTGGAGGGGGAAGGTAACTGGATATTGAGAGGGTATTATACTGAATTTACCTGATGATGTAAAAGAGCACACCTCCTGCAGCACTCAAACAAGAAGGAATTTTTTCAGAATTTGACTAGCTCCAAAAAAACCAGCCTTATCCCCAAGGGAAACTACTAAGCTATGGAATGATTCAAGCTCATTTTTAGTGGGAGTTCTTGCTATTCATTCTTTCACTCCCTTTCTGGAGTCATTATCCCATACTAGCTGGAATACAATCCCTGAAAAATAGAGAAAATTCACCCAGATGTAATCCCCTGACAAACATTCTATATGAACAATTCTTTCTCTCCTAGAAAGAGAATGGAGTGCTTGCCTTCACTGCTCTAAGACATTATGACTAAGAAAAACAGTAACAGTCCAAGGAAGCAGAACAGAAGGAAAGTAATACTAAACAGGTATATAAAGGGTTCTGAAATCTTTCTTGCAGGACAAAAATTATGAATGTTGCAGTATCGACAGAACAAGCAAGATCACTTCCAGCATCCCCAAAAATGCCCATGTCTTGGCACTGTCTCCACATGGCCATTTTCAGCCTCAAATGCAGCATGAAATCTTTGAGGTTTCTAGTTACAGGAAGATCCTGTACCAGACTGATAAAAATATGACACTGAAATATTAGCTGATGAAAGACTGGATTCAATTTTGGAACCCCTAATGGAAACAACTGAGATGGAAGCTCCAGCAACTCTTTCAAGTCTGCCAGGACCAAATGAGACAGGACAGGACATCTGGCATTAGAAGTAACCTTTCACCACTATAGATGCTGACTGGGCTTCATTCTTAACAGCCCATAAAGCAACAAACACGATTGCTTGCAAGTTTCTTGGCACAGGTTTTTACTGAAGGAGAAAGTGTCACCCTGGAAATTCAGTGCTTCAACCTCAAAGCTGTGAATTCCTAAACTTTACCAAGCTGTGGTTAGAGACAGTGCAAGGGAGACACCTGCTCAGGGTGATCTTTTTCCATGTAGTGGTCCATGATTACTCATTGACATGAGGTTTTTCTAGTACCAAGCAATCCAATCTAGCTGCCGTGAGTTTCACAACAGCTGTGGGCTCCTAGATTCAATGTTACATTTATAGCCTCTTCCAGCAGCAATTCTGAAATTTATACCTCTTATCTTTTCTTGTGCAACATTTAAAGGAACAGAAAATTGATTATTTGTTCCTAATATATTCCTAAGGAAGGCATTAGAAAATCTCATGAAATTTGGCCTTTTGAAGTAAGACCAAATACTGGTTTTGGAGGTGTCACCCAAAGGCCATGCAGACTGTCTTTAATGAATGAACAAGGAACCACTGCCCACGTGAGTGAGAGAAACACAGATCAATTGAACAATGAATTTATCCATGGGTAAAAGAACCTAAGAGTGATACAGAGTGTTCTCTGCAACACACACCCAGACACCAAGGAAGTGTGTGTCCCTTACATGAACTGCAAAGGGAAAAGCCTGTCCAGTCTCATTTTGCACACAATATGCACACAACAGGATGAACATACATATGTGCTATCACCTGAGGCTAGAAATAACAACTGCTGATATGATTAGGTGTTCTTCCAGTAAGCAAACACAACTGCACAAACTGCAGGCACAAGTAGTTCTCTTCTCCACTAGTAAGAAAAATTAATTCTTTCAATTCAACATAAGCCAAATATTAGAAACAGATTTCTGTAAGCCATATTGCAATAGTTTCATTACCTCTGAAGCCTCTGCACAAGGTGTGACACCATGGTATCTGCAATGCCTGGACAAGCCTCCTCAGCTAAATAAACTGCCTTTCTCAGTTCTTCTATGGAATCTGTGTTACCACCACACACCTCACTCTTCTCTTTCAACTGAAAGGAAACCAGGAAGAAATATATTAATAAGATATTAATAAATATTTCTATACACAGTATAATGCAGAAGCTTGTTAGGAAGTGACCATCAGTGTTCACAATGTCAGCATTTGACTTTCATCATACACCCTCACACACTGAGGACATTTTTCAAGCAGAAGTTTGTCTTTACAGCACTTATCAGGATGTCAATCATCTTCACACATCTTCAATCTTCACACATCCTTTTCAGCATGCTCACAGTCAAAAATGACAACAAAGTATCCCAAGGAAAAAAAGCAGTATTTACCCATAGCTGTTTGATTTCAAGATGTGCTTCCTATACTTTAGTATCCATGCTTGCACACCTAATACATATACACTGCAGTAATTTTATCAACTTTTTAAAATAATCATATCTTCATAAATTCTTCTCTTATACTTCATATATTCTTTCTCAAAGTTGTTTTTAAGTATTTTGGGAACAAAATACAGTTTGCAACACTGAAATTCGAAAGTGAAATTCTTGATGATCTGGTCCACAACTGTATCCTGGAACAGATCTTGAGCTTGAATTTTGTAATAAGATAAATACATAAAGTAGTGTCAAAAATTGAATGCTGTAATCTAAACATTTACACACCTTTTTCTTGTCATGTTCATTGCTTTAGGCCAGCATGGGTGATGTTACTACTATGCATATCAAGTATTGTTAGGAACAAAATACAGACCTCAGAAGCAGACATACCAAAGGCAGAGAAAAAACTTAACACAGCAAGTTCCAAATGGGTAGTAGCAACCTTAGGTATGATTCATTATATTTTTCAATTTTTTTCAGATAAACCTTGGAATTGTTGTGTTTTAAAGCAGTAACTTACCTCTGCAAATAAAGGGGATATAATTGTAGACAGGCATTGGGATAGAGGCCTCTTTGGGATATCCTTTTCCTTTAAAGAAAAAAAAAATCTGACCAATTTTTTTGGAAAAAAAGTAGCCTCATTGTATGTTAATTAAAGACAAAATGTAGTTCCAACATGCTACACTTTATGAAAGGTCTGTTTCCATATATGGAAAATGTTCTACAACACACTATTCCAAAGCACTGTGGAAAATAGAGGCTGAATTAAAATTTGAGACTGCAGCACCTCAAATACATGCAAGCTCAAAATCAGAAGGGGGAAAAAACCCAAAAAACCACAAACCAAAACCACCAAACTCCCACAATCCTACTGAGCATTAACCAAGTCATAGACATGCTGATATTTACTAGGTTCATCCTGTATGATAAAATATTTTTGTGCTATTTCTCCAGAATTTTCAGAGCCAGCACAGCAATAACCTGCTCTGGCCACACAGCTTGCAGAAAATACAATGTAGCCATTCCTAAACATCCCTTATTCTGCGTTGTTTGGGTTTGGATTTTTTTTTTTTTTTTTTTTGGACACAGGCACATTCTGTTCTTTGTTACATAGTAGCTTTTTTCCTTAAAAGACCAAAATGCCTTCTCCGAAATTCCAGCCTAGATTTGCACTGTACTGGTTTTAGTTTACTATACAGAATGAGATTTTAAAAATACAGTATTGCCTGGTCTTCCTCCAGTGGTTGTATTTCAAACCAGAGAAATATTTGGTATGTATTTTGTCAACTACACAAAAGGACACATTAACTGAATGCCCAAGCTTCAAGACTTAGAAAGTTTTGTGAAAGGCAACTGTAGAAAACACATTTTTAGCAAAAGTTCTGGAAGTTTTACAATATAAATGCTTTTAAAGGCATAAATTATTACTAAATTATTAAAGCAGAATTATCTCCTTGTATTATGAAGTCAGTATTTTGAGCACCTTATTTCTTTGCAATTCCAAAGGCTGGGCTGCTCCATTCTCTAGATTCTTGGGGTCTTTTTCTCTTATTGTAAAGATCCACTCTTCTGAGTCACTCCCACCTGAAGCTTGACCATCTGCTTCACTTCAAGGGAAAGGAAAAAAAAATCTTACCTTACCACTGATGTTCATTAAATATACACACTAAATATAAAAACTCAGTAAAGACCAAAATCAGGATTCTATTGTGCAGGCTACTACATAAAAGACAAGTATGAAAATTAAGGAAACATTTTTTGGGTGAATTCACCAGATGTAAGGAAATGAGGCATTACAGACTGAAAACATTTTCCCATGTCATATTAACAAGTTACATGAAATGTTTTATTGCTATCTGAAAACTGGCTTTAGCAGAGCACCTCAACTCGTTAGGAAAAGGGGATGAAATTAGAAAACTAAATTCACTTTTCTTGCCTAGAAAAATAGCTAAGCCACTGGAACTGTGACCACTGGAAGGCATGAAGCCATTAATACTGCAAAGAAATAGACAGCTGTAATGTCACCCAAGAAATAACCTGATGCTTGCCATTAGCATGCATACTGAAATAGCAGAGAATAGTAGTGTTTCCTTTACTATGAGGTATTTAATCCATTTGTAGAGTAAGTTGTGGCAATCTCTTCACTTGAATCTCACTTGCACAGTGCTACTTGGCTGTGCAGCTTGAGACCCCCTGCCTGCAGAACAGCTGGCCTCATATCTAGGAAGAGCCCTGGACCCTACATAAGAGAGAAGGTAGCACAGAATATGGGCCAGGAGAGTTTTTCCTCAGTGACTGTTACTTGCACGAAATCCCTGGCAATACTAAAATTAAGACTGCATTCATTTACCAAGGCCACTAAGCTGAAAATCTGTAAATAACTGAATACAGCAATACATGTGCTAAAAATAACTCCTTGGCTCCTAAAGGAGGATATTTTATAGACTCATCAAACTTACGTATCCGAGTCATCAGAACTGGAGTCGTCATGACTTTGCTCAGACTTCCACCTCTTATGCCTGTCAATGAGGTCAGCCAAGTAAGATGTTTTCTTGGAGTTTCGTAAAATGAACTTATGTTTTAAAAGCTCTTTTGCAGTAGGTCTCTTAAAAGAAAAGAAGAGAGAGTTGGGTTTTTTTTTACCGTGTTTAAGTGTTGAGTGACTCACTATAAAAACAAAGAAATCCAGAGTTTAGTCTTGATACAAATGAGATTTTAAACATATACAGTATCTAAAAATATACCTGTCACTTATGTCACACCATATTAGAGAAGGTGAATGACACTTACTCATGCAATCCATGTAAAGCTGTCAAATTCTCTACTACACACTGACAAACATGAAACTCACAAAGCTTGGGTCCTTGTTTAAGCAGGCCTCGACAAATTCTTTGAGGGATTTACTGAAGTTTCCTTCCAGCGTTGGTGGATTGTTCTTAGGAATGAGGAACAAAACTTTCATTGGATGTAATTCTGAATGAGGTGGCTCTCCTTTTGCAAGTTCTATGGCTGTTATGCCTAATGACCAGATATCTGCCTGTAAGAAAGAATGCTTTTAAGATCAGGCTGGAGAAAGAAAGTGTTGGCTTGCTGCTCTAGTTTAACCAGCAACAAACATCTGCTTGCTCACACCGTCCCCTGGTGGAATGGGGGAGGAAGAGAATTTGAAGGGTAATGGGAGAAAACTTGTGGATTATGAACAGTTTAATAACTGAAATAAAATAACAATAATAATAAATTATAATGGGAAAAAATAACAAAGAGAGAGAACTAACACCCAAGAAAGGCAAGTGATGTAAGTGGAAAGAGCTGCTCTCCACCAAGAGGAAGATGCTCAGCCAGGCCCTGAGCAGCAGGGACTTTCCCCTGGTTTTGTTGCTGTGCATGAGGCCATATGGTGTGGAATATCCCTCTGGTCAACTGTCCTGGTTGAGTCCCTTCCCAACTCCTTGTGCACCCCCAGTCTGCTCACTGGTGGGTGAAAAGCAGGAAAGGTCTTGGCTCTGTGCAAGGGCTGCTCAGCAATCAGGAAAATATCCCTGAATTATCAACACTTGCAGCACAAACCCAAAACACAGCCACATATCAGCTACTGTGAAGAAAATTAATTTTACCCCAGTCAAAACCATCACACTTGTAAAGGTAGATTTTTAAGTTTTACTGTAAATAACTTAATGTGTAAATTGGTTTTGTTACAATTGTTTTATGTGATTAGCCCCATAGCCCAAGTAAAGTTTCTTGGTTGTCTGCACTCTTCAGTATAAAAGTTATACTAAGTAGAGTTTAAACTTTTTGAAATCAATACTACTACTCCAAAAAGCAATGGCAGAGTCATATAAACTAGCATTTTATCTACCATATTCAAGTATACTCTGTAAATATGGGGTAAGTCTAAAATAGTCACATAAAGTAAAATGCTTTAACTTGCACAAGATTTTTCCTCAACATAAACTAGCTAGTACAACCATCAGAAATTTAATACATTAGAATATAACTTCCCTGGAATTTATCACTGGTTTTATATATCATTCTTATTCACAGACTAGAGAAATGCAGTCTTTAACAGCAATATTCTGCTTTTTGGTCCAAGCAGACTCTAAAAGTTTTCAGTATCAAAATGTGCTACTCTTTCTAGGGAATGCTGTCTCCCTTGATACAAATCCTACTGCAAAACTGCCTGAAGTAATGTGAAGCAATGCACTGTAATTCTCTTATGTTTTGCTGAAGTCACAGACCCAAAGTCAAGAGGGTTTTCTTTTACCTGTCAGAAAGGTAAAAGAAAAAAAATTCTCAGAAATGTCTGTTCCAAGGACAAGATACCAATTAAAAATATTTATGTTTGTTTTTTCTCTGTTTCTTTTTAAGTGAAAGCAGAACAAAGACTTATTCACAGGAAAAGCAGAAAAGATCTGACATGAGCTGTCTGGTTTTACTCCCAAACAGAGCAGTTGGAATTTTGCTATGCTGTAAACAGATCTATTTCTAGGTACTGGACAGAGCAGAGATTTCATTCATCACTGCTGTCTTTACTAAGCACCCCTGAACCCCACCTGTGTCAGCCCTGTGGATTCTCATGGTTATCTTTGACTGACTTGCACATATCCACTCCACTATCACAGCCACAGTGCCTGGCACGAAACAAGCTCCTCCTTCCTTGGTCAGACAGTATCCTACTGTCAAGAGCTTAGTTACTTAATTTTGCAAGTAAGAATGAAAAAAAAAACAAAACAAACCAGAGTCAATTAGCATACCACTGAATTTATAAAATGCCATTTTGTTAGGCCATGTTACAGAGCAGTTCCTGAGCACAAAGAATTACATAAGCACATGGGCCCTGAGTTTCATTTATCTTAATAAGAGCATTATCAGCTAAGCTCTCCTCAAGCCTAATTATGAGTAACTTCCCTCTAGCAGGAAAGCTTTTCTTGGTTACAAAAGAAAAATGTCACCTGTGAAGATGAGTCTTCATGTTAACAACTGAGTATCATTATTTCTAATTTATTCAGAATTTCAATTTCTCAAGAATGAGGTGTTAAAGCCACATAAATTGATACTTTTCCTCTGCCAGACTTTCAGTATATACAAGTATAAACATCAAATTTACATGTGTATGAGTGCACAGATATCCACCTGCACACACATATATGTATATAAATACTTCCTTTTTTCCTCATGTATTTATAACTCTACTACTAGTGACCTTCCTCTACAAAAATGAACAAAAAAGTGCAACAAACTATAGCAGCACACTAGACTCTTTGAAGTCCAAGATGGGTTTTGGAAGCCCATTCCTGTTGAAAACATCAAAAGTAACTCACCCCATGTTCCTCTGGAACCATATCCTCCCCTTTCACAGATAAGAAAGGAAGTACCAATTGCACATGTATCCAATTAGGCATTTCTAGGATGGACTTGACTGTGACAATGAAACCCCAGAACAAGCACAAATAGTTCTCCAAATGGAGAGGGATAAGCATGACCTCAGGACATGGTGACACTCCACTATCCTTAGGTTATATCACATTGTGATTTTTAAGAGTTTCAAATCTTGAACAAAAATTCCTCTTCCAAGTTCAGAGGACAGCCACCAAGTCACTGGTAATTACTATTTACTGCAATACTGCCATAAGCCTTTCCTCTTCTAATCTAATGTGCAAAATGCAGTCCAGCTTTAAAGTTCTTGTAAGTCAAAGAAAACAGGCTATGTGCAAGAGAAAGACACTTTCAAATTAACAATCTATTTTTACAGTATAAGTTTTATAGTAGAAAGAACAGAGAACTAGATATATGAAAAATGAAGCATGTTAAGAAAACATGTTTTCAGGTAAGACAGGAATCCAAACAGGAAGCAGAAGCACTGCCAAAAACTAGAGCCCTTTCAAGCTTTTATTTGGAATCCCTCATCAAGTATCCAAGACTCTTATGTCCATGTGACATTGCACACTGAAACAGCCAGAATGGAAAATGTAAGGGCTGAATCATACTTTGTCCAAATGATGGTCATTCCCAGGAGCCAAACCTCAAAAAAACAAAAAGAACCCAAGGCCAACCAACCAAAAGCAAAGCAAATAAACTACCTAAAATAGCCAAACCTCAAAAAAACAAAAAAAAAAAAAACCCAAGGCCAACCAACCAAAACGAAAGCAAATAAACTACCTAAAAATCCCCCATAAAAATACACAAAGGCAAAAAATAACAACCACCATTTAAAAAAAGTTTACTCAACTTTAAGTTGGGATTTTGGGGTTATTTAAGCTTCTACAGGCTCTACAGTGTTTTGCCTGTTATAGCTTTTTTACAGAAAGATAGCAAACAGGGAATTAAGCAACAGTACAGCCTAGACCAGAATCAGCCTTGGCAAATGCAAAGAAACATCCCAACCTGTCCCATTCCATGGAAATATGGCAAATCAACAAATCCCTACAGGGAAATCACAGGAAATGGGCAAGGAAGATGAGCTCAGGGAAGAACATAAGGAAATACTGGTAATTATAATAAAGAAAGCTGATCTTAACACAAATTGGGCTTGAGGGTGACCTTTGTTTCAGACCTACAGCTGCAGCAGTGGGTTGGGCAAAGAGCCTTTCCTGATAACATGGGTGTCCTGCTGAGCCAGCTAGGCCGTGTGGGACAGAGAGAAAGCAGGGGCAGCAAAGAGCTGTATATGTACCTCAAACAAATAGAAGCATAAAAAACAAATAGCCACCACAAAAAACTTTGAAAAAAGCAATAGGCTTGAGCTGGCTCTAATGGGCATATTCCTCCCTGGCAAGCAGGGACACGCAGTGCCATACTGGTGAGAACAGTAATGGAATCACATTTCTACTGTGACCCAACTATGTATTACAATTGATATACTGTGCTTGTCTTGAGATTTCAGTATGCTGATGTGCCACTCTGCTAGATCAAAATCCTGTGTATAGATAAATTTGGTATTTAATATTAACACCTCCCAAATGGCAAATCTGAAAGAACATGGTCAGAGCAGCACATTCTGCCAGAGAGGAGTAACAGCCCTTTCAAACAACATTTTCACATCCACCAAATCCATATTCTTCAACTGTGTTGCTGGCTATTTTTTTCTAAAAACAAGAGGAAGAATATTAACATTTTGAATATATTTGTACTCTTCTACTTTTTCTAAATATCTGCACTCTTCTGCTTTTAAACAGCCAAAAATACTCATCAATTGAGTGGGAAAAAAGGTGATGGGATGCACTTGTGAATACTGTATAATTTCTTGCCATCTGGATTGTCTTAACAAACTAGGAAGCTTAAACTTTGAATACAAATTAGGAAATCTTTCCTCACCAACAGCTTTTACCTGCTAGGTGTCACCTAGCATGTCATCCTCATGTAGACACAGACAAAGTTATTAGCTGTGTTCTGAAGACCAACCCATGTAATTCAATTTAGAAAAAGGAAGGGACTTTAGTAATGCCTTGAAGTACCTCACCTTTGAATCATATGCTGATTGCTTTATTACTTCAGGTGCCATCCAAAATGGTGTTCCCACAAAGGTATTCCTCTTTATCTGTGTGTCTGTTAGCTGCCCAGCTACTCCAAAATCTGCCAGTTTTACTTCCCCTTGCTCAGACAGCAATACATTAGCAGCTGGAATAAAGAGGAAGAAATACCAGAAATGAAGATATTTGACACCATTTGACTATGTAAGGGTGCTCATACAGATTTGCATGAGTTCTTCTGATATTCTTCCATCACAAATACCAAAACAATTTACCTTTAATATCTCTGTGGATTTTCTTTTCCGAATGCAAGTAATCGAGTCCTTTGAGTATCTCCCTCAATATTGTAGCAATTTGAGTTTCATCAAGTGAGCCAGGCTCTAACTAGGAGATGCAAGAAATGTTTAAATATGTATTAAAAAAGGACAAACAGACAACAGAAATAACACTGTGACTATAAAAAGAAATTACTCCTTCTGTCAGCCCTCAAAACTTCCAATTTTCTGACTTCATAATGTGAGACAAAACAAAATACTATTTTTAAAAACACATAGCTCTAAACTAAGTGGCTTAATGAACAACAGGCAAAGAAATAATTTATCTAAAATATTATGTAAAATTTGTTAAAGGTGCCATAAAGACAGAGCCTCGAGTTATTGCTTTGTGGTCAGGTCCTAGATATACTATGCCTTTGAAAAGCATCTGATTGTTAACACTACACTAAACTTACATGTGCAACTCCACAGACCCTATGTGGACTCAAATCTCAAAGCTTGAGCAAGAAGCTAAGACATTCAAGGTAATACATCCATCAGTCTATGACTACATACTGCACACTGGATTTTGAGAAACTCTCTAAAACTCAACTTAAAGTGATACGCTGAGAGAACATTACGTATTATGTATTTTAAAATGTTAACTTTTTTCAAGTAATCCTGGAAATATAAATCTAATTGTTAAAAGATTCCAAGTAATTCTTCTTATGAGAAGAATCAGTAACATTATATGATCCCAAAGTTCTTTACATGTGATATGAATTCTAAAAGTGAGAATAACCGAGGAAAGATCACTACCCAGAGAGACAATAAGGGCATCTTAAACCCTGTCCTTAAACAATAAGGGCATCTCCAGAGAGACACTGAAACTTTGTATCCAACCGTCAATATTGGAAATATTCCACTACTCTAGTTTACTCCACAATAGCACTCATTGAATCACAATCAAAAAGTTGTACCTCTAAAGCTTCATTCTGTGAAAAGGAAAGCATTTCAGATAAGGATTTTCAGATAAAAATTAAAAATAGTACATCCCTCAGAAATCCTCATGCATAGCAACAGAGGTAATATTTCATGTAACAATGCATTTGCTTTATCTTTGCAGCTTTAGTTATAATCTTATTTGCTTTTCCGTAGCTCTGATAATACACAAAATATTACCACTACCTGAAACCCACTAAGACATTCTCAAAGCTTTGCTGCAGCCAGGCTGCAAGCACCAGCTTGAGACTTGGTAACATGACACAGCACATCTAATGGGGGAAAACCTCTTATGTCAGATTCAGCTCACCTTGGTGAGGAGGAATTACGGAAAACAGAGTAAATCTCAGAAGACTGGCACTTGTACCTCAGTCACAAACTTGAACTATACTCAAAGTTTGACCAAAAATGTATATGCAGTTGCATTATATGTATTTTTTTCTTGTGAGGCAGGATTTTGAAATCATGCAGTGCATATTCAAGTAAGAAAACACCAAGCTAGAATGACATGTCTGCGCTCTGAACATGGAATTCAAGGTTCTCAGTAATCCTTGCCTTGAGTATGAAAATGTGGCAAAACATGTCAGGTTCTAGTTGAGAACCATTAATGTGCATGTTAGAACTAGGAGAACATGCACCAAAACATAAATTGAAAATGAAGCACATAAATTAATGATGCTTAATAGACACTTACAGGATGATTTCAGTTCTGGGGTGAAATTTCTTCAATAACATTTTAAGATGTGAACAACAAATTTCTACTATTTCTAGGCAACAAACTTAGAGATTAAACACATAGTCATCACACAAGTGAAATTTGTGAGTTTTAAAAAAAGAAGAAAATATGGTAACATATGTTTTTACTCTGCTCTTTTATACCTATACAAAGAAAGTAGTAACTAATTTATAAAAGCAAACCAAATTTCTAATTGCTCTTCTGTCTGGAAGAAAAAAGCGATCACAACAATAAATGCACATTTTTTATCATATCTTTATGGGGAACATCATGAATTTTTACACAACCACAGAACTCCTAACAGATGTGGAAGCTAAAGGTATAAATGGGCTCAAAAATACACAACTGCAGGAAGCCCACATTTAATACCCACTCCTGTGTTCTGGATGTCACCAGCAGAATCCCTTTACAGTGACCTTGTTCCTTTTGCTCTTTCCTCAAGCCTTTATCAGTTATCCTATTTGACAACTGCAAACTCTGCTACCAAGATGTTCTGCCTCAGTTTGGATAACAATTTTCACATACTTAAAACATGCATTATTATTTCTGTAGTGTTTTTTAAATCCACAGTGAACATAAGACGGTGGGCATTGGGTGCTTTTTAATAGCTGAAGTGAATATCAGCATCCAGTTACAGAAAACATGATCTGCACTGACCCCTTCGAATTCCAATTCAAACCTGGGTACTCCATCCCAGATGCAGAATGAGGCCCTTGCTCCTGCTAAATTTCATACCCTTGATGATTGCACAGCCCTTTGGTCTGTCCAGGGCTCCCTGCAAGGCCTCTCTACCCTCCATGAAGCCCAGAGCTTCTTCTATTTCTATGAATTATTATTTTTAATACCAGCCTAAATTGTATTTCTGTCTAGGCTTCAGAAAGACTCCAAACAGGGAACCTTTCATTTATTTGTTTGGGGGAGAGGGTGGTGAAGAAGATACATTAAAATGTACAAACTTGTATAAGCCACCACTTGTTGTGGTGGCAGAATTAAGAGATACAAAAAACTATTTTCAGGCACTAGTGCTCTCTGGCTGACTGAAGATTAGCATTCTAAGATGTTTATATCTTGCTTCCAATATTAGGTTGCTTAGTTCCCTTCTATTTACACAAATAATCAGTCATGCCTCATGGAAAATAACATTTTTCTGGCATTGACAAATAGTTTTATCCTTTCCTGAAAGTGCACATTGCCACAGCCAAGTGATCTATTATAGTTTCCAGAATTATAAGATAGGAATATAATTACGTGAAGTAAAGTAACAAAAAAACATGTATCATTTACTTACTAGATCAAGGGCAGAGCCTCCACCCAGATATTCCATTATTATCCATAATTTTGTATCCTGCAAAACAAAAAAACCCAAACAAATGTATTAAGGTTAAAAAAAAAAAGAAAAAAGAAAAAAAAAGTAGTAACGAGTTAATGGGACTTGTCCCATTCTTTTTGATGAAGAAATTATCTGCAGTTTTGAAACACCACTAACATTTAGCTGTTCCTCAAAAATATCTCTGGATTATTTACTCAAGAGTGTGTGCATGGAGGAGAATGCATTTTCATTTTAAAATTCCAATTATGGACATTCCAAATATCAAATAGTGTTACACATAACATATTTCCTTTCCTTAGAAAATATTATCTCGATTTTGTTGATCATCTTTATTTGTACATATACCTAAAAATATTTTCTTTAGTAAGCTTGACTCCTGTCTAGTTTAAATTGAAATAAAACTTATTCTTCATTTTTCGGCATAGTTTCATTTTCTTGAACAGGTTTTCTCCAGTAATGCTTATGCATCTGATATATGGTATAGAATTTTTGCACAGTTTTGTTCAAGAAAGAATAAGTAAAGTAGTAATGAAGATTGCTTAAGATGACTATAACAATGTACTAGCTTCACCTAGCAAAAGAAAAGCTAACAACACCATCAAGCTACTATATTCCTAAAGAAAACCTTTTGTACATATTATAGGACAGTTTAACACAAGATATACAACACAGTGTGCTAGGAAAGAGACTGGACCCAATAATTTCTTTCCACTGTTTGTAGCATCTTTTTCCAAAATACACTAAGGGAAGCAGTTAGCCCAGCTTTTCCTTGCAGTACCAGCCTTAAAACACACAACAAAGCAAAGCCACAAATCTACTATGTACGTATTCAAATTAAATTGCTGCACAAAACACACTGGTGGTTTCATTTTTATGATTATCAAGTTATTTTACACTTTGCTAGTTTCACCTCTATGGTATGTATCAAACTTTCACAAGACTTCTAGCATAATAATATAAATATCTCTCGGAGCAAGGAGCACATAAATAGCAACAATATTCATTTATTTTATCCAACAGAATAAAACTTCATCTAAAAATAACAGCTCACAGCCAGGATATCTGACACTGAATTCTCATCTGTAAGGATGGATTCAAATTTTTAGAGAAGTGGTAAATGCATTACAGGACATAACTTCATCTAAATCCTCTAAGGGATTAAAATTTTAGCCCTTAGGACTCACTTAAGTCTTTTAGTCATTATTATATTTATACTTCACTGCATCCACCCCCTCCCTGGACTCCTGCTGTAGGTAAATGTGCATTTTTCCCACCTCCAGTTACACATACCGTACTATTTTTAGATAAGAGCCTGGATTAGGGCTCCTTCTTCATCCACTATTTTTAACACAGAGATTCAGCTAAATTTAGATACCTTTCTTCAGGAATCAACTCATGCTATTTGACAAACACAGTCTTGTTAAAAATATTTTAAGAGAGCCAGAACACAGATTTTAGAAAGAAAGAAAGAATAATTAAACAATATAATCTATCTCAGTAGTGAGAGACAACATTCTCGTAGTGCTTACTTTCTTGCAGACACCACAAGAACTGTAACTCATCTTGATAGAGTATCTTACAGTACTGAAATACTTGCTTTTCTGCTAAAACTTTTACATGTTTTTCCTGTCCCTTCAAGGCTCCAGGTCCTAGCAGTTCCTGAACAAGAACATTACTGAGACGTGTCTTATAGTGAATCATCAGAAACTTGATCAAAATTTTATATTTATATTTTGCTGATAAAATGTGTTTAAAATCAACATTAAATTTCCTGAATAATCAAAACTCACACTTCATTTTAATAGTAACTTAAACACAAACATGTCAACAACATCACTACTTCCTAGTTCACTGGAAATGCCTGAAAGAACACGGTAAATGAAGCAAACAAACCCCTTGACCCTTTTCAAGAACAGTGAAGAAAAGAAGGGGAAAAGAAAAAAAAAGGGAAAAACCCCCAAACATCCACAATGCTTCACACAGATGCTTCACACACACATGAGATGTGTCTTCTCTTTTCTATTATCTCAAGGATTCAAAGAGTTGGCCACTCAAAATAAGATATAATTTCCCAAAAGAGAAACTCTCTAGAACACTAGGTACCAAATTCTCCATCTGAAAACTAGAAATTACAAGTAGAAAATAACTAACATAAATATTTAAGAATATAATTTTAATTACACAGTTGCACAACTATATAACACAATTACAGTACTACATGCTATATTACTCACAGTCTTTTAAAATCATCGTTTATCATTTTAATTGTTTTTCTAGTTCAACTAGTCTTTGCTCCTGAAATGTTCATCATCAGTCGCCTGAGGCCACATGTCTGAATTTACAATACAAAAGCCATTGATCCACTAAACTCACTAATCCTACATTTTACAACAAATGAAGTACGGAAATGCAGTTAAGAAACACACACAACTGTATCTTTATCCTAGTGTAAAGCTAACTAACAGCAATCTATTACAATTATCCCATCTTTTTATCTGGATCACTATATTCAAAGTTATTTTTCGTGCTCTATGGTTCCCTCTTGCCTCAGAAATATTACTCAACTTCATTGATGGTTTGGGGTCTTTATTTTTAAAGATTCCATTATTCATATGAAATATCTGAACAGATTCATATGTTGTACTAAAATAAATTTAATTACTATGGTAGCAAATCTTACTACCACCTTTCCCTAATTCTTTTTGGAATTTTTTTAAGCTTTCTTATATAAAATCTGCATATATTTCTTGACAAGAAGATGCAAATAAATCCTTCTGGTGAGACAGCTGTAATGAATTTCTCAATATGTATTTCATCTTAGAGCCAACAACCCATATATACTGACTTTATGTCTGTGGTGGCTTGGATGCCAGCTATCCCCCACAAGCACTCTGTCACTCCCTTTCTCACCTGGTTATGAGACAGAGAATACAGCAAAAGGCTCATGGGCTGAGGTAAGGACAGGGAGAGAACAATCTCCAGTTGCCCTCATGGGCAAAGCACACTAGAACTGGAGACATCAATTTAATTTATTACTAGTCAAATCAGAGTCGTATAATGAAAAATAACGCCAAACCATAAAACCCATTTCTCCTGGCCCCTTCTCCATGGGCTTGAATTTCACCTCCAAATTTCTCCATCTCCTCCCCACAGTGGAACCAGGAGATGGGGAATGGGGATCGTGGTCAGTTCATCATATGTCTCTGCCACTCCTTCCTCCTCAGAGGGCAGCTCCTCACACTCCTGCCCTGTTCCCACAGGAGACAGTCCTCCATGGACTTCTCCCACACGAGTCCTTCCCACAGGCTGCACTATTTCATGAACTGCTCCAGTATGGGTCCTTTCCATGGGGTGCAGTCCTTAGGGAACAGCCTGTGGGTGTCCCACAGTGTCATAAGTCCTGTCAAACCTGCTCCAGAGTGGGTTCATCCCTCCATAAAGCCAGAGGTCCTGCCAGGAGCCTGCGCCAGTGTGAGCTTTCCACAGGGTCCCAGTCTCATTCAGGCACATCCACCCATCTGGGTGCTGCAGGTGTCCCCCAAGGGCTGCAGGTGCATCCTGTGGTCCCATTGAACCTCCATGGGCTGCAGGAGCACAGCTGCCTCACCACGGTCTACACCAGGGGCTCCAGGGGAACCTCAGCTCCAGCATTTGGAGCACCTCCTCCGCCACCCCTTCTCCACTGACCTTGGTGTTTGCTGCTCCTCTCACTTAATCTCTTTGAGGGCTTCTCACTTATTATCACTCCTCTCTCCAGCTGCAGCTGTGCAGGTTTTTGCCTCCCTTCTTAAATCTGTTATCCCAAAGGCACTGCCACAGTCACTTACGGGCTCAGCCTGGGCCAGCAGCACATCCACTCTGGAGCCAGCTGGCACTGGCTCTATAGGACTTGGGGAAAGCTTCCAGCAGCGTCCCACAGAAGCTGCCCCTGTAGCCTCCCACTACCAAAACCTGGCCATGCAAACCAGAGATAATGCCTTGTAACAACAGCACAAGGCCAGCACTGAGCTACTATTAATTGACTTTGGCATCACCATAGCAACGGGCCTCCTTCTTTCCTTCTTTTCTGAGTATCTCTGGCATGCTTCACATTCCCTAACACCTACTGTCACTTTCCTTTTTAAAGCTGCCCAAATTCTTTTTTTACATGAACTTCTCACCCTTTTCAGTATATATTCTCCTTTTGCTCTCAAACAGAACTCCGAAGGCACTACATTTTCTTCCATAGACTAGATTAGTAATTATATATTACACATAATCATTTATACTTTCAAGAAGATACTACATTTGTATACTGCCACTAGCAACATTCAGTGCTCCTCTTTAAGATCTGAAACAAGAACAGTTTTCTTCTTCTAAGCATCAGCCACAACACAACACTGAATTTTCTTCAAAATACAGTGAAGCCATGGTGAGTCATCCATCCAAATTTGGGATTATTTCTTTATAAACTTAGATGAGCAGATTAATGAGGGTACATGGAATATTTCCTTTTTCACAGCAAGAACAAGGAATTTTCTTCTGATGTTATGAAACTGAAGAAAGGAACAGCTTTGGAATCTAGAAGAAACTCTGTTAGAGTTTCTGTAGATCTTTCCAAACTACGGTTGCTCTTTTTGAGATCTGACTTCTGATTTTAACTCTGGAACCACAGAAAACCTTGTAAGAGCAATTTTACCTCTGATGAAGTTTCCTTCATCAAGTTACTTCTATACCATGAAAGTACTTGCAAAGTAAGTGCAGATACAGTATGCAAAGAATTTTTAGTATGTAAAAGTTGAAGATTGTACACTGCAGAAAAAAGAAGGCCATCCACCAAAACACTTGTATACAATCTCAAAGGTACATTTTAACTAAAGTCTGAAGAGGACAGAAGTCTTACAGAAACAAGTAATCAAGATTAACATGTTTGCTTTTAAGTCCTTACAAAGTTTTAAAAAAATCTAAATAAAAATGGAAGAGGTCTACCTTCAGAGATGCTTCATATTTCTTGTATGTGAAGAACATAACACATT